GTTTCTATAAATGCATAATATGGGTACATGAATTAGTTTTATAAGCGTACAGTGACAGTTAATATAAGGGCGCTACAAATGCAATTAGAAACACATAGGTAAGCAGACAGACCTCTCTTCGTACCTTGACTTCAGAATTGTAAAGTTATTTCGAGGGGGTTATGTTTACAATACTAACTGACAAGAAAGATCAGGGTTATTTTAAGTTAGCAACAAAGTAAACTAATTTGTATCAGTAATAACAATGTTTGAAAAATTGTGGACAATCTTGAGCAATCGGGAGGGCTGACCTGACAACTAAGTGGTTAAGCGATGAACACTCATTCTGAAGTAACTGATAGGAAACCAGAGAATTACGTATTAAAAAAGGTCTTACGAAATTGACTGAAACATCAAAGGGATCACATGAAGTTTGTTATGCAGCTATTCAGGAAAACAAAAACTGACACGATAGGTCACGGTAGTAAAATTGGCTGCATGAAAAGGTTTTCGAATACAAAGTTCACGTTTCTTTTATGGATTTCTAAGGCTTTGGCTGCATGAAGAAGAAGAAGTAGGCGAAATCCTTTCAAATGGATTAGTCGAACTTCACCTATGACTCCGAATGAATTCTCTGCTGATACTGTATACCCACCATATCGTTAAAGTTGGGAGTTTGAAAGGAAAGAAGGCGAAGAAGAAGAAGAAGAAGAAAAGAACGAGTTATGGTGGATTACATACCAAATTACTGTACAAGTTTAGAACAAGGTTAAAAGAAAGGAAAGGAATTGAACAAATGGCTTCCATATACACAGTTCAGGGTTTCCCTTCTATAAAATAGAAGCTGGTATGAAACTGAAATAGATGAAACCTACGAAAGTCTCTCAGTTGACTTCAGTTTCCAAAGATACAGGTAAAGACATTCCCAGCCTGCTATAAAAGCTGTGATAAGTGATACTTATCAAAATAGATATGGTAAATCGACTGAGCATCTGCATTCTGAAAACTCATAATTTTCTTCGGAATATTAACGCTAAAATGAATTATTTTCTATTATTAATCATTCTATCAATTACTACAACTTGCTGATAAATTACATGGACATATATCATCCACATAGACACCTTCAGTTCTATTAAAGTAATGAAAATGGGACCAACTAGCCATGACTTCAAGAATTCGTAACAAATGAGTACTATTTAATTCCTTTGAAACATTTCAAAATTTCACTATGGACCATAAAATCGAGGAGTTTAAAACAACGAATCATTGTGCATGATCTCAGTGTAAAACTTGGGCACTGTGGTTGAGCATAACTTCATTATGGATAAGCTTTTATTTTAATAAATCATACAGTGTTGTACAGTAATATTAATTCATAGAGTTTCGAGCACAGATTATTGCTCATAATCATATCAAGTCACTCACACAACTTCTTGCTTCACTTATATACAGGAGTAAAATTGATTAGATAATTGAATAAAACCAATATAAGGTAATGTACATTCAGAAAAATTAATAATATTAGTGTTATCAATCAAATACAATAAGATGGGAAATAAGATGTTTTATAGTAAAAATAAGTAACTTGTTAGAGTGTCTTAATATGAATTGAAATACATTTTAACATTATTTATTATCCTCTTCTGATTTGGCTGGCGGTTATATCTTCCATATCTCTGGTATTTGCATTGTGTCACTTCTGTTGCATGTGTTGGGTGTAGATTCACTCGATGAACAAGGATTCAGTAATCAATCAATCTCTCTCTCTCTCTCCAGCTACCTATATTACTTTTTAGAATTTGACTCTGCTAAAGCTAAGTTTTCTTCTAAATTACGTATATTCGTGGGATAAATCATTCTAACCTTAGCTAAATTCTTATGTTCTGGTAATCTCACTACTTCTGATCTACTAGTTTGACCTATAGATTAGCTTTCCTTTGTATTATAATGTCCCGCTATCCAATTTTATCAACGGAATTCATTATAGCAATAGCTACAGTAACTGATGTGAGTGTTTAGAAAGCACTCAGGTTAAACAGTAGTGATTGCTAGCCAGATCTAATGGATTTAGAACCAGGTTACCGTTTCTCATGTTTGGAGCTGAGCTCATCAACAGAACAATCCATAAGACTAAACTCTGAGATCCGAATAAGTTCAAACTATCAAATTTTGATTAGTCATTCAAATGATCTAATAGTACGACGGAGGTTTAGGTTCAGTTCGTGGTCGACACACCCCTAAACCTCATCTGGATTACAAGCCACCAGTTAGATGAAAAGGATACAATATCTCATTTGAGGCTAGAAATTCCACCTTGGAGAAACAACAACATTGCCACTACAACTGAGAAACTCTAGATCTTATATTCCACTTGGAACACTAGGAATAAAGGAATAAACAAATACAAAACCACTGAACACCAGACACTAGAAGTGACACCATTTATTTGTTTTAAAAGATTCCTGATACAAGATATATCAAGTAATGCCTAGAAAAAAAAAGCAGATAGAAGGTTGATCTTCTAAATGGAAAACTTTGAGGTGCATCATTAGTTATGAACTGAAACAGAAAGCCTTTGTTTTGAATTTTCACTTAAATATGAATATCGCATAACACTAGTGTTTCAGTTTCTGATTAGTAATTTATGTATTAAGTGTTTTGACTAAAGGTGATGGGATGTTGTGACTCAGACGCAGTAGTGCTGATAAATTTAAACTTCTGTTGGTTTATTTTTTGCAAGACATGAATAATGCAACTAGTTTCATGAAGTCAGAAGTTATAGATCAAGAAATATCTGACATTACTTGATTGGTGATGTCCGGTAGTATTATGATCTTCCATGATGCTTTTTCAGTATATTAAACTAATCGATCGAATTTAATTGAATTTCGGATTTTCCCGTCGACTGATTGGACCGAAATGCTCGGTCTCAGGTTGACATGTCGGCTTCTTGAGCAGATGCTTCGATGATGTTTGGGCATTTAATTAGTATTTAATTGGTGGATAGTGACTAGCAGTGGAATCCAGGATGCGCATTTCGTCCTTTTCGGGTTCGAGCCTCGGTGGGAACATCATCACTCACTGAGAAATGCAGGTACATTCAGATGACGAGTCGCAAATAGGACGAAATGCGCATCCTGGATTCCACTGCTAGTCACCATCCACCAATTAAATACTAATCGATCGAACGTTTCTGTATCTAAGGGAATATTATTTTACCCACTGATATGTCCTAAAGTGGAGGAAATGCATGTCATAGATCCCATTACTATCTACCATATTTATTAAATAACATTAAATGGCATAGTTAGCAAGTTCGTTTTGTAGCAACATCAAAGAGAGATATTCTCCCGCCGCCCACTGATTCAAAATAATGTGAAGAATAAGCTCCCGCATATAACCACTTTGGTGTGCGTATATCAGTTCGCCTGCTCGTGCAGAGATAGGTACATAGGTCGTTTTATGCGTGTGCTTTCAAAACCTGTTAGAGAACATTACCAGGCATACCTACAAATAGAAGGTACTAGTTCAGTCAGAAGCGTTATAGTTGAACATCTGGACAGTCAGCACCTGTAACAGCATCTCAACTGACCTATCCATCACTCCGAATCATTTAAAAAATAAACAAAAATCCATCAAAGACGGTGTTTTTCCAATTTCTCTGAACTGCAGAAGCCCTCACCATATGCATTGAAAAGCCGGAGCCATGTGTTCAAAAGAAACCAGTTCAACCTTTAAATTCGCCATAGATCTACATCTTAGTTTTCCTGTTTTGTTGTTTGCATTACTTTCATTTTTTCAGTTATAAAAAGCCGTTATCTCAATTTGTTTCTATGCCCCTCCCATCCACATCTGTATTCGTTAAAACTATTTTCTAATCCTTTGAAATTTTGTTTCTAGTCCCCTTTTAATGTACATTCACACCTTCGAAATTTCATCTCAAGTTGAAAATTATCATCACCTCTCATATTCTTCGTTATTCTTCAAAATTAAATAAAAATTGTATCTGTGTAAATTTATGTTTATCTATGCAACTGTACAGCTGCTTTTGAGAATGAAACCACCTTAAAAAAATACGTCTGATGAGCTTTTTATTCCTTTCTTCACAAATAAGATGTTAAACTATCTTCAAGGTAGTTAGATTAGATGAGGTGAAACAAAAGACTTCACTCCAAAATATGCAAAAACATTTATGAGGTATACTGAAGAAGGTTAGATCAAGTGAAACACAACAATTGATTAGCCTAATCAATACATTGTTGTCAATAATTCATTGAAGCATTTTAATGATATTTTTAAGTTAAACAATTTTATCAAGTTGAAATTTGTTTTTGCCCTCTACTCAACGATATCGAAACTAATGATGAAACAGCTGGTGGGTGATATTTTTTTGGTGTTTTATAAAACTCTCTAAGAGATGTCAACTTGTAGCTAAATCTACCGTGAAATAGGTTGAAAAAAGAAGTACATATTATCGAATTCTCACAAACTCAACAAGTGAAAAGTGTTCATTGAAACGAATAGAAAAGTGAGGAAAAGAATTTTGAGCCAAAACTGCTTCAGGGTAAGACAACAACTATCAAGGTAAATTTTAAAAAAGTATTTCTTCACACTGATTATAAGATTTCCTCAGGGTTAACTCTGTGGCAGTATTAACCGCTTATCTAGGAAATTTTGTCAGCCTTCTTGTTCTCCAAATAAGATTTCCAATTAGATGATAATTATGGTCAAAACAGAAATCACTTGTTTGTCATTTTAATTGTTAACTCAGTAGAACAAAGAAAAACAAAAAAATTGATGACAGAAATAACATTTAGAAAAATCAGAATGCTAATGAATCTCCATTAGACCTTCACTTTTCTTCCTCGATGCGAGAAAATTTGTTTACTGATAGATAAAGTTTTGACTCTCATTGGTGTTTATCCGTTAGCCAATAAGAATCAAGCCACAATGACCTTCAGGTGTGTCATTTGAAGCTGTGTAATTCAATGTTTTCATGTTGTTCATGACAATTTGATCTTCATTTTATTGCAAATAAATAAATAAATATTTGTTGAAAGATAAATAAAAGGAAATAATTAAAAAAAGGAAATATTTTTCGTCGATAAATGATGTCGAGGGAAACATTCCCTGTCATGTTAATTACTCACTGTTGTTATTTTCTTCTTCTAATTACTGTAATCTCTTTAACTGATGGATTTAGTCGATGTGATATCAAGCAATCTAGTCAACCAGAATCGGTTAATTGCCCAAATAAGACATGCAGTCAACACATCGATTGTTGGGTAACATATGGTCCACCACAACGATGTGTTTGTGATCCAATCCTATGCGGATCTGTTTGCCTACCAGGTAAAATAATGTATTCATATGATTTTTATCTAGTTATTGATTGTTATTGTTGTGATGTCCCTTGTGAAAACTTTTTCTTAATCCATGGCTTATGGTTAATTTGATGTTATCTGATTGATGGTGGCTTATAGTGAATTCTAGAATGCGCGCTTCGTTCTTTTGTAAGGTTCTCCAATTATATGCAACTGTGTCCCCCATTTAGTGATAATGTTCCCATTGGAACTCGAAACCATCTTTTGTGCAATAAATAACAAAAATGTGGCATTTTGTTTTTATTTTTTGACAATTACTAATCCGACTAATGAAATTGAGTTGAGTGAGCTAATTTGAAGTTAAAGGAATTTACTTTACACTGAAGTAAGTGTCCAGTGTCACCACTTTTTCTGAAGACAAGAAAAATATGACTATTTTAGGCCAAAGTTAAACTTTAGGCAGCGAAGAGACCTACACTCTAACCCTAATATCTCCTTAAGCTACCTCGAACCGACATTAATATCTCCCTAATTAGTTTAAACTAACCCTAACCTGTGCATTAACTAAACCTAACCTAAAGCGTAATAAACATTCCGTTTAATATCATAACACTTTATTAAGCATATTTTTCCAGGAACGTAGTGTCATTTATCTCGTTACCATAACTTTCTGATTCAGCGTTCGTTCCAAGATCATTTGTGTGTTCGCGCCCGTTCGGTGCCTAAGCCTAAACTTCGATCAATTTTGAACTATTGCACTGATTGTACTACTGTGGTATGGAACTGATGGGTTATTTGATCGTTAAGGCGACTAAACTCAACTGAGACCAGCTGATCTATTGATAGGGCACTCGTTGATAATACTGTCGAGTGGTTACCATCCACCCCATAGAGAAGTCTACACTGACGATGTCGTCCAGGAAGACAGTGATAGCTTTGCAATTAAAGAACCTAGTTTAAAGAAAATAAACACATCAACTGTTCAGAACTACATGAATTATGAATTCTTTATTTCTCTCAGAGTTGATAAAATTGTGATTAAAATTTAAAAATGAGACGTTGATGACTGAAATTCAAAAACGTGTTAACCAGTAGGAATTCGTTAACGAAATGACATTAGACAGACAATAAATGAGAACTTACAAATAGATACGAATTTGTAAAGAAAATTAACCTCATTTCTTTGTATACCATCTAATTTCTTTGTGAATTAGTTAGGAAATGTTTATCAGAAATTGGCCAGTGTTCCTTTTTGAAAATGGTTATTCAACTAAGTCTTTCCAAATATTAGATTGTTGATTTCACTCTCACATATAAGCAAGATTCACATGAACTGACTCGTTCCTATGATTCTTTTAATATTGCAGGCACTAAAGAAGAAACTAAGTTGAATGTTAAATATCTTCGATTGTGTCTTCCCTCTGATCTTTCCCGGTCATTCCAAATCCTCTTGATTTCTCAAAAGTCTCTACTTGAACGCTTTGTTATCTCTTGTACTTTGCTTATCCCTCTATATTGCTTCACCTTGATCTCTCTTCGACTACTTAAGAAAGACGTCGTTACATTGTGAAGTACATTCTTAGCTGTTAGTAGGGTGGGTAACGTACCTGTAAAGCCGACTGGTTGTTATCAAAATTTGCAGAAATTTGAACTGATGAAAAAGAATTGGCGAAAGTCATTCTGCTGGACTGTCAGTACCGCAGTGCCGGCTTAGCAAGATTTAGGAGTGCGTCAGCCGACGACTACATGTCAGGCTGTCAAGTGTCCTACCGCTGAATCACCGACTCACGTGTTTACAGAAAGAGGTTATAAAAGTATGGGTGCTTTGTTTACTAGTTATAAAGTCAGTCAGCTGCTTGGCATTTCTCTGGTGATACGACCAATGTTGTTAACGCCTGTCAGTGTTACAAAAACACGTGACTCAGTGAAGATATACTTTTCCTTGGCTATAAATGTAACTTAGCAATTATTTACAATTTATTTTTTCATGAATTTATCCAGTACACTACATTTACATTTAACCAAGGAGTCCTGGGCACCTATTTCGTCTTAAGTTATGACCCGTCAGCAGTACTTACTCATAACCCAACCAGAAATTGAACCTAGCGCCCTCAGGTTAACACCTGTTGGCGATTCAGCCACTCGTGAGAATCTGTAGTTCAAAGACAAAAATACTCACCAGTCACACGGGAGGTGCAGGTTCAATCTCCAGCCAGTACACTCTTAAACCTCATCTAGTTTACTAGCTACTTGGCAGTAACCCAAGGAAACGGGAAAAGTAACGTATAAATTTGGCAATACCGCCTTGTCCAAACAACGCCACCGTTACTGAAACTTAAAAGACTGAAGTCCTATATTTCACTCAGAATGCACAGTTAAATAACGTTTAAAAATGTTATAAAACGTCCCAGTAGATGTTGAAAATTAATGTCAGGCACAGTAAGAAAACATTGAACTACATATCAGGAAAGAAACTGGCAAATTTTGAAACCTGGTTTAAACTCTGTCATGTAATGTAAAAGTATTTAGTGATGAATAGCTCTCAGAAATGAATATTATCAATAAAATTGCAGGCATCCCGAAATATGAAATACCACTCATAAGAGTAGGAGTATCAGAAGACGTACATGAGTTTGTAAAAGGGAAACATTGAGATGGACTATATACAACATTAGTAAGAGGAACTAGATCAAATGAATCTGTATGCATCCTTCACATACAACAAATGCTTCATTTGTAAATTTTCAATACATGTAATACCTAGTAGAATAACCACGAAGCAATTAAGATTAGCGAGTCTATATCAAACACGATGGTGGTATACTAAAAATTAATAATTAATGATAGGGAATTGAGTAGTAATGATAAAAAACAGAACACAAACAGAGAAGATTTCGAATTACACAAGAGGTAGGGAAATTCTTCTGTTTTATTTATAATTTAAATACACTCATATGAAGACCACAGAAGGCGAATGAATTGAACATGCTTCTTCTGTATACAGATAGAGCTGTGGCTCCTCTTATTCCATGCCTAAAGCCTTAGAAATACAAATGAGTTAGATAAGTAACTATTTTGGTGGGTGATGTGTTGTCTCATCGATAACCTTGAAGTAAGAAGTTTCAGAGATGAAACGACATGTAAACAAGATGGCTGACTGCCACACCTCTTATATCTCCAGCTCAACCTCTTCGTAACTATTCAGGATACAGTAAACCCTCATTTAACAACGAGTACGCCTATCACCACAGGAAGAGATGAGTCACCATTGCTACATGTCTACGAGATGAAGTACGCAAATATGGATTCGATTAACGATCCTGGTCTCCACTTGTTCATAGTGAACTTTCAGAAGCAAAACAATGTTATGTAAAAAGCTTCTAATCCTTGCTAGTGAATAATTGAAGGAGTTCTCGTGAGGCAGTGTGACCAATGGAGTCCAGTAAGTCCGGTTTTAAGAGAAATACTTGCTGACGACATTGTTTGGTGATTATTAGTATTATTGTTGTTCCCTTGGGTTCCAAGTGCAGCATAGGACTTCAACAACACATCTCCACTTTGTGCTATTCTCTGCTGTTGCCCACGATTGCCCTCAATCTCTTATTTCCTCCCACCTAAATATCTCCTCCAAGTCATCGTCGCACCAACAACCCACTCGTCACCCACCATTTACCATTCTATAAGAGCAATGGCCTGGCTAACGCGTGATATCATTCGGTGGCCTCCTCGGCGTGTGTCCGATCAATCTCCATTTTATCCCACACATTTGTTGAGTGATCGGCTATTGGTTGGTCTGTTCTAAGCTGGAGTTTCTTGTTGCGAATTCTTTCTGGCCGACCGGCTGGCCACTTGATTTTCACTATGGAACCAGCAAAGGTGGAAGCTATTGATAAAATTCTGAAGTAACCTATTGGAAATGCTTTCCATGACTCACACGCAGTGCAAGTTTCTGACCCATATAGGAGAACTGACTGACTGGCTTTACATTTGTGTTCAAAATCTGAATCCTATTGTTTATGCTGGCTGAGTGCAGAAGATTTCAAACTAGTTTCAAGTTGATGAAGGCGTACCTCACCTTTTCCCTTCTGGCTGACAGATTCGCTTTGACATCTTCATCCGTTCCACCGGTCTGTGGTTGAAAACGTGCTTCCTGGTCAGATAATTGAAGGCAGGAAGTAACCTCTGTCAAATCTCTCCCGTTGGTGGTGACTGGTGATCACACTAAATCCAGATCATCTAGAGTCTTCTTATCGGTCAGTGCAGTGTACTCCTGTCTTCTCATTCCCCATTGCACAGTCGAACGCACAATTCAGTCCACCACAATTAAGAATATCATTGTTAGAACGCTTCACTGAGTTTCCCATTGTGGATCACCTGATACGTGGCGGGCATTTTCATACAGCCAGCAAGCGTTGAATGAGACTGATCAAGAATTGGACACTGCACGCAGTAATAGTGAAGCAGTTTCTAAATTACTTTGCGGTCAACGCTGTCCGTCGAAGGTCTTCTCGAAGTCGATGGAGTTGAGGTAGAGAGAGGTTTGACTGCCATTTTATACTTTGTTCTATGATGTTGAGGCATAGAGTTGCAATCCGACCAGCACATGATTTGTCTTTCCTGAATCCAGCTTGAACCGGTGGGGCTGCGGAGTTTTTTATCCAGTGCATCTTCAATTCTTTACAGGATTACGTGGCTTAGTATTTTACTTGACGTGGACAAGAGCATTATTCCACGTGAGTCATTTCTTGCACAGGCCTAAGTCACCCCTCTTTGGTAGCTTGACAAAGTGGTCAGCCTTTCTTCTAATTGATAGACACCTCTCCTTCCTTCCACATCAGTTAAGGACTCTGAATACATCTTCATTGCTTCGGGAGAAATTCCGTTTGATCCTGCTGCCTTCCCAGTGGATTTCGGCAGCTTGGGCGTATTAAAGATATCCTCTTTTGTTGACGGATTGGTGTCCAATGGCATGCATTTGTGTGTGTGTTGTTGTTAGTGGTATTTGTGTGTGAGTTGCAGGTGGTGGTC